CATTTTTTCAACTGAAAATATACTAATCTACTTTTAAATTTTTGAAAATCACTTGTCTATATTAGTATATGAATATATTTAATGTACATTCTTTTTTATTTATTTATTTTTTATCAACAAGCAATTATTTAACATGTTTTATTTTAGTGAATTATTTAACATGTTTTAGTTTTTAAGTTTTAGAACTCTTCTATTGTAATATTGTATGTTTATTTATAATATTATATTACGAACTTTATATACTTTTATTTAATAATAAATTTAATTTTGTAATAAAAAGAAACTGAACAAAAATAAATAAATACAAAGAATGAAAACATTGAAAAAAAAAAAATAATAATAATAATAAAAAAAAAAAAAAAAAAAAAAAAATTAAAAAAAAAAAAAAAAAACGTTCAAAAGCGGTTTCTCTGTGACAAGACCTGATGGTCTTCTTTGAGTATCCGCGTTCTTTATATTTATTAATATTCTTTATATTATTATATTATTCTTAACGATATCTTGACTTGTTACCTTTTCTTTTTTTTTTTTATATATTATTTGTATCTGTATCATAAATATTGTAATAAAGAACAAAAAAAAAAAAAAAAAAAAAAAAAAAAAAAAAAATTCCTCTATCAATCAAAAATCTCATTACACCCATTTTTATGGATTTACAGAAAAATGAATTACTGTTGAAATGTTTGCATGGTCAAACACTAAGTTCAAATGAAGCGCTCAACTCATTCATATGGTTTAAGGTACCTAAAATCACATTTGTTAGTAAAGATGTTGTAGAAATGGGTGTAAACTCTTTTTTTCATTTCAATGATGGCAGAAATGGTATATTAAAAGGATTACAGCTTTTTGATATACAAAAAAAATGTTACACAATTGACAACAAGTTTAGCAGACAGTATATGAGTAAAACGAATGAAACGTAAGACTACTATTACGGTAAAGAAACAGAGAAAAAAACTAAGAGCAATATAAAAAAGAACTCAGCAAAAATCATAAAGCAAAGGAACCTCAAGACTCATATATTTCAGAAAGATTTTATCATGATTTTGCTGTTTAAATGTGATTTTTTCTTTATTTTGTACTTATTTTTGTTTTTTCTGCAAGTCGAGTTTTTCATATTTTATCAAGATTTCAAAACATGATTTTTCATGATTGAATAAAGCTTTTGTTCTGATATTTTTAGGACATATTCCTAACAACATTAGAATTCATTTAACAGATAGATTTTATTTAATGTTGTTTAAAACTCATTATTTTTAGTTTTAACTTCATTAAACTGCTTGTAAATCGTACAAATTTTAACTTATTTTAAAAAAAAGGTCATATCTTTAGATATAAAAGGACTAATTAAAAATCTATCTGTTAAATGGAGCAAAATAATGTCATCAACAGATCTGGAAAGTTTGATTCATGGTTTTTAAATCTTACTCAAGATAACGTATTTTGAAAACCTCAGAATTAGGTCTTTATTTACACTGTTTTTTTGCCATTTTTGGTAAAGTTTTTTAAAAAAATTTTTTGGCAAAAATATTTCATTTTTCTTAGTGAAGCATTTTTGCATATTTTCAATACTTTTTTTTAAAAATTTTCATGAAAAGTGTCTTTTTTGTGCTCTACCACCTTAAAATTCTGGTGATTAAATTTCAACAGCATCTTCTCTTTGTTTGCATCAAAAGCCAGTTCTGCTTTAGAGATTTAAATTGTTGATTCTGCGGTCCAACAAATTTGTTTACTGCAACTTCATTGCAAAAGTGTTTTATATGAAGCTCTCCTACATGGTGGCGGCAGGCTTACAAGAGAAATGGTCGGCCATGGAAATTAGCTAATCTTGCACAAGCTCCTTTTAAATAGCCAGTGTTTGAACCAGTGGTATCAAGACAAACTCCGTGGATAAACTGTCCTAGATTAAAAGAATCTAATAGATTTTGAATTGCTGTGAACTGAGCCTCACCACTGCCGTGTTCCAACCCTAGAGCGCCTAACAGATGAGACTGATTTTCATGCCTTATAAGCACATAAATTTGGTCTTTTGTCTCACCTATGCTACCGTATAATCTTTAATAATTTTGCCATCAGAATGCACAATGATGGGTTTGCCGCTCTCCTTAACCATAGTGGTTATGTTTGCTCAAAGAACAGCAGCATCTTTTCTTATTATTGTATCACAAATCCTGTGAGTAGAGCTGTGGGATAATGTTACGTTTTCGATATCTCCACCGACATTGCAAAGAAAAGAAGATATAAGTGCTGTTACCTGGTTAGTAGATATTCCCATCCCAATAGCAATTCTGGCAGTTTTTGAAAAAATGTCTTTTGGTACCTTTAGAGCCATATTTTTAATTGTCTTCTTCAAAACGTTACCAACTATAAAATTGTCTTCGGAACTGCCATCATTACAGTCCAGGTCTTCATCAGTAATCATTTCACTTTCAGAGGAAAATCCTGATAAATCATGGATAGTGTTTTCAACTATACCAGAGGTTTTAGAGTTATTTCTTGATGCAGATCTTTTACTAACATCTACAAAGCGACCGTCCAACGCTCCAATCACCATCCTTCTGCAATCTAGCTGGTTCCGTATGAAGGTTAAATCTTCAATCTTATCTGCAACCAGTCTTAGCGTATCAGTCTTTAAACTATGTTCAAGAAGCGTAATTTCTTTTCCTGCCCAAAATACTCTTTTAAATTAAATTTTATTAGGTAAGAGCAAAAAAAAAGTAAAATATTTACTTCACAATAAATTAACTTAGTATTGGCTGTTTAATGTTTTTTTTTAATTTTATCATCTACCTGACATTGATTTCTCAAATTTATTTTTTTTCTCAAGATAACCAATTTCAATTTTGTTCTTGGATTTTTTCAACACTATGTACTTTTCTACATATTTTTTGACATGGTACATCATCCTTTTGTCGCTGATGACTTTGAAACCAGTCTTTCTCCAAGGAATTAAGATCCCGGAAAGGATACAAACAATGAATTGCAAAATTCATTGTTTGTTATGCATTTTAATCTATGAAGAATTTACTTAAATTAAAAACATAACTTATAAAATTGTCCTTACTATATTTGACATAAAACATGAAATAACGTTGAAAGTTTTGGACATTAAAGGACAAGCGATGAGATCCTTTAGTGCTTTCTTTGAAAATTGTTCTCTTAAAAATAAGTAGCGTTGGATAACGTGAATCTTTAGGGATAGCTGGTTTGTTTCCATTTTATCCAGAGTGATGTTAACTAGGAACATGCTGTTGCGACTCGATCTCCTTTTTTTTAACCCCTTCTTGGGACAGGGGTACACCTCAGATACTTTTGTTGTCATAGCTAGCTTTAAAATAAAATTTCATAATGATAATCATTGTTTTAAAACACTATAAACATTTTCATAATTTGTATGAAGTTTAAAATTATTTAAAAGGTTATTTATAGTACTATAAATGTTTAATTAACCTAATTTATTTAACTATAATTATAAAATATAACACATAATTATGTTATGTTGTTATAATAAACTTACTTGAGGTGGAAATAATTGATTTTTTACTATTAAAAACTGTTAAGTAGCTCGATGAACGATTGTTTTATAAACTGTGCTTTTTTTAAACCTTTTCCGATTTTTGCGTTTTAAAAGTACCACCTGGTATCAAATACGATAATAATAAAAATGCGCACAATCGGTATGGATAAAAAACCGTCCATTGACGTATTGACGAAATTAAATTATTAAAGGTTTATAAATTTTTACTCGTGCCGATTATTTGAAAATGCTCTTAAAAACTCGAAAAATGTTAAAAGGTAAACTTTAAACGAAAGGCGCAAATACTAATCCAGAATAAAAAATACAAAAATGTCATTAACAAACCAATACCTTGAGAACATTTTGAGACACTTCGTTAAATAAAATTCGTTCATGAGGGTCAAAATGGTATGGCCTAATATATATATATATATATATATATATATATATATATATATATATATATATATATATATATATATATATATATATATATATATATATATTATATTATATATATATATACTATATATATACATATATATATATATATATATATATATATATATATATATATATATATATATATATATATATATATATATATATATATATATATATATATGTATATGTATATATTTGGTTTGGTACTTGTAAAATACTGGTGGTTAATAATTAGGTATGAACTCTGATTTTCTAAGTGTAGGACTTATCCTAGGTATCTTTGAAACCCAAATAATATTAACATGATTCAAGGAATTTTTGTGTCTATATATGGTTTAAAAATTAAATTCTTATAATTTAGTGTAAACACTCATTCGAGATTAAATTATCTTTAAAATGAGTACATGAGCATTATATGCTTATACTATATGTTTTGAGCAGAAAATTTTTTAAACAATTCTTTTATAAACGAAAAATTTTTATTGCTAAATTACATATAATAAAAAACATTATTTTTAAAACCTATAAAATTTCGGTTTTTTTGAAAACCATATTAATATAGTTTTGAAAGAAAATATTTGTACTTATTCATAGATCCTAGCAAGAATTTCGACGTAAATTTTTTGAAAACTAAACTTTCAATACTTTAAAACAGAAGTTCATAATATTATTTAACCTATCTATATTCATAATATTATTTAACCTATCTATATTCATAATATTATTTAACCTATCTATGTTCATAATATTATTTAACCTATCTATATTCATAATATTATTTAACCTATCTATATTTATAATATTATTTAACCTATCTATATTCATATTATTATTTAACCTATCTATATTCATATTATTATTTAACCTATCTATATTCATAATATTATTTAACCTATCTATATTCAATTATAAAAGAACAAAAGAAAAGTTAAGAAAATTATAACTCTAATAAAAAAAGATCTATGAATGAAAAATTTAATAAGATATTTTTTGTTTTGTGTATAAAAAATGCTTTTTTTAAAAAAAAACTATATAAATAACAGAACAACCGATTACTTGAATCGATGTCACTATAAAAACATGCACAAATACAAAACTGATACAAACATCACAAATATAGAAACATTAAAAAAATCAAACTCATAGAAAAATTGAATTTTAGAAACGAAAATTGTAAAATTCAATATTTAAAAAAAAAGAGTAAAAAAAATCAAACAAATCGTGTAATTCAAAGAGCCTGGAAAAAAAAAGTAAAATAAAAACACAACAAAAAACGCATCGTTTGACGATAATAATCAAAATATATACAAACTTTAATTGATTTGAACTCGAAACTCGAGTCAACTCGAAACTCGAGTCAATAAACTAAACAGTTAATAGTGCATAAAACCTTTTTATAACTTCAGAATTGTTGAAATTTTTCAAAAATAACTCTAACTCATTATTTAGGAGAGGCACGCATTTGATGGGCGCCTGTTTTAAACCAGTTTTACATAATAAATTATTCTCTACAAAGATAAACATTAAACTATACGACATCCTTTTTTATGATGGTCTTGATTTTTTTTAAGTTTTCTTTCCAACAGTTCTGGACGGAATCTGTATATTTCTTGAACAATCATTTCAAAAGCTGCGGTTACATTGTGCCCAGTCTACATAAAATAAAATATTGCTAATAATTTACAAAATATATTTTACAAAAATGATATTTTTTTTTCTTTTTATTTCATTTTTTTATTTATTGTAATTTTATTTTTTCTATTCATTCATTTAAAAATAGTATTTTCTTATTATGCAATAATAAACAACGTTATAACAATAAAAACAATATACAACAGTTTGGCAAAAAAAAATGACAATATGTCCAGTAATCTAGTGACTCTTACGGTTCATTTAAAATTAAAATTTGCTACATCGTCCGAGAGAAAATTGAGATTGAAGTTAGATCGTCTCTGCAACATAAAAAATATGCTGGTTAAATAAATGAGTAAAAACCTATCTATGATCTATTTAATGATATAAATGTGATTTTTCATAGATTTTATATGTTCTTGTTAAAATAGAACTATTTTGGGGGTTTTTGTTTAAAATGTTTTGTTTTGAGGCTCAAACATACCAACTAGCTTCTAAAAAGCTTCCCAACTTTTTTTTAAAAGGTGATTAAATGTTTTTATCAATTTACTCAATCAGACAATTAGTATTAGAGTAAACTTTTAATGTATTAAGCTTTTTGAATTTTTTAATATTGATTTTGCAAAAGCTTCGCCAGAAAAATCATTCAAAGTAATGGTTCAAAGTAATCGTTCAAAGTAGTTTTAAGTAATGGTGAATGGTTTACTATTTTGCCAAACTTCATCACCAGGAAGACCAAGGTAAGGAAGTCTATAATTCTGCTTTGTTTGTTGTGAAAATCTTGCCTCCTCAAAGTAGGGAACTATTTAAATTTTGGGAACTATTTAATTTGATGAGCTTGAAAATTATTTTAGGTATATACTAGATATATATTAAAAATACCTATTTTAAAAAATCTCAATACAGTAAAAATTTATTGCAATACGAACTGAAAAATTATTATAGGTACAAAAATTATCAAAGACTGAAAGAAATAAGAAAAATTTCTTCAAAAACAGTAAAAACGGTTTCTCTAGTTGCCTCACTTTAAAGCCCCATAAATCAGCGGAATGAAAAGATCATTCCCCATTCTCTACTGAAAGCCCTTTGAATACTCTATGTCCTTATACAATTTTAAAAGTTGTGATGCTATTTGTATGATTTTGATGGAAACTATCAGTGTTAAAAATGGCATAAAAATTTTGCTTTCTAGTTTTTTTGAGCCTCAAAACAAAACATTTTAAACAAAAACCCCAAAAATGGTTCTATTTTAACAATAACATATAAAATCTAAAAAAAATCACAATTATATTATTAAATGAAACATAGATAGGTATTTACCCACCATTTTATTTAACCGGCATATTTACTATGTTGAAAATGTTGCAGAGACCATCTAACTTCAAACTCAATTTCCTCTTTCGAACGGTGGAACATTTTAATTTTTATGCCAAATGAAAAGTGAGTGTCTATCACTGTCAAAAATGACAATATGTTCAGATTGTTGAACATAACCCTAACCCTGGTCCTCAATTTGAAGGTTAAGGGAAAAGTTGGCAAACAGTGACAAAATGGCTTTGTAAAAAAATTTTCATTAAAAATAGAGATTTCCCAAATTTGATATCAAGATATTTAAGCATGTAATACTATTTCTTTGATATCTAGTCAAAAAAGCATAAGCAATTTTATGTCAAAATTTTATTTTAAATTCATTCCTTTTTATATTTTAATGGTTGGTATATAACCTTACATTAATAGCAAAAACTCCAAATTTTAGTATCGAATTCCTTACTGTTTTAGAGTTACTTAGTCTTAATTTTTACCTCATTTTTTAAAAACATTGAGATTTAGTTTAAGTTCAATAGTGTTCAGAAATTCGAAATTCTTGTTCCGCAGTAGGAACCTTAAATACTTTAAAGCAGCTGCAATCTTTCAAAACGCACTTGCATGCTGCAATGTTGAAAAGTATTAACTTGCTCCCATCTCTGAAGCATTTGAGATTTTCTTTGTATTTCTCCTTACACCTCTTGCCACTATGTTGGATCTATGAATGGTTTCTGGAATGGATCTGGAATCAGTTTCCTATATTGGTCATGGAAAATCTTGATTAGTTTTAAAACACTCGTATGTGATATCACTAGAATGGGCAATTTGAACCAATTTTTTTTTTCAATATTTGTAGAAACCTTTTCTGTAATTTCGATACAGGTCTTTGGTATAAAAGTTTGGTTTCAACTTAAACTAAAAAACTTAATATATATATATATATATATATATATATATATATATATATATATATATATATATATATATATATATATATATATATAATATATTAAATATATATATATATATATATTTAATATATTTTTAATATATATTCAATATATATTTAATATATATTCAATATATATTTAATATATATTTAATATATATTTAATATATATTTATATATATATATAGATATTTTATAAAAACATCAAACTATCAAAGAACTAAATATTTTCCTCTTTATTAATAAGAATAATCCATTCACTTGAATAAAATTTCCTAGATTAAAAAAAAAATTAGGAGAAATTAAGGAGTGCAGTCAAACTTTTTTTAAGGCTATTTAAAGACATTTAAGGAGTTTTTTTATTTTTTAAGGATATTTATAGTTTTTAAGGATGAGTGGGAACCCTGAAATAGTATTTCATAACATTCTCATAGGCTAGTAAAGCTATCATAGATTGTTCTTGCAGTGAATGCACTTCAACTTTTTTCTGCCAGTTGATTGTAGGCCATCATGGAAGAATATCTATTTTAATATGTAATGAGAAAATGTACACCTTTTAAAACCATATAGCATATTATATGATAAATAGTATTATATGTTAAAACCATATTATATATAGTATTTTACAAATATAGTTTTTTTTTTAATAAAAAATTCATTTTTCATAATGCCAAACTCATAATAGTTTTTTTACTATAGATGCAAACAAATTTTATAACCACATATTGATACAAAAATGTCACATTATTATGTGAGCTTTATTACTTCAATGAAATAATTACTGTAGCCATGTTTTTAACTCAAAACCCATTTACAGAATACGCAATATCAATATCCAACAATTCCAAAAAAGTCAGAAAAAAAAACTTTTTTTTTATTTAAAAATTTAGTTTCAAGGTTTTTCCAAAACGTTTAAAAAGGGTGCCAAAAGCTCATTTTAACTTTTTTTTACAATTAGCATTGCGAATAGTCTCTTACAAAGTTCACCTGACCTACTTGCTCTTTGTAAGACAAACTTGAGATCGGCTGTTTTATCTTGTGATCTTAGCGTTGATGGTTATCTTCCTTTAATTCGTAAATTTAAGACTCCAATAGTCGCACGCTTGGCCTTGGCATATATATTCTTAAGAATTCACCTATTTGTCAGGAAATTAGGTTTGGATTTATCGACTATTCTTATATGTGAGCACATAGAAGAAACGAATAAGAGCACACGAAAGCACTTTTGTTTAGCACCACTTCACTCTTTCTCTTTATTCTATATCGCTCTCCTTCATCTCAACACTGCACTTTATTCAATGATATTTCTGATCAAATTGATCAAGTCCTCTCTCTTTACCCATCAGCTAATATCATTGTTGTTAGGGACTTTAATGCTCATCACACTGAATAGCTTGGCTCTATGTCAGTGACTCTGCAGGCATTAAACCCCACAACCTTTGCCTTTCTCAATCTCTAACTCAAATAGACAACTTCCCAACTCCAGACAAACCAAATCGTTTACTTTCTTTACTCAACTTATGTCTTGTTTCTGATTCTAGTCAGTGCTCAATTTCTCCACATTCACCCTTGAGTGCTTCTGATCTTGGTTTGATCTCACTCTTCTTCTTCATCAGAATCCTCCTATCATCGTACTTCTTACAATAACCTTAAAGTTGACTGCACTCTTTCCATGATGGCCCTTGGGTAGAAATCTTTCATCTTCCTGTTGACAAATGTGCTTCTTACATAACTTCTTGGATCCAGGCTGGTATAGAATTTTTTTTCAAATCATTGTTGCAGCACTGGTTTTAAGTAGGGGCAAAAGGAGAGGGGTGATAATCTCTAGAACATACCCCCTCCCCCCCAAAAAAAAAAAAAAGTGATATCCCCAAATAACTCTGGGTTTGTCATTGCCAAGCCCACCTTTCCCTAGAGCATGACATTATCTATGGACAACCCCTTACATCATTAAGTAATAGCCAAGACATAACTAAAAAAAAGCAGATTTAAAAAAACTATATATAAATTTTTATTTTTTTTATTTTGTTATATATCAAGTTCAAATGTTATTATTGATTTAATTAATAACCTGTATTACAAGTTGCTTACTAGTTTATTACCTAGTTTGCTAACTAGTTTATTATTATGATTATTTTTATTCATTTTTGTTGTTATTTTATGTATATCTACATAATGTCAGTAAATGTGAGATGGTCCATAAGAAACTTCATAAAAATTTGTTATTTATCAAATATTGATTTATTTTTCAAAGAAAGATTAATGATGAAAAGAAAGATTAATGGTGTAATACGATATTTAAAAAAATGGTAATTTGATAAGAAAAATTACCTTTGCAGATGTTTCAACATAAGGTACTCTTATAGAAGAAGCATACTCTTCAGCAGTCTCAACTGTAACTTCACGATCTAATTCTAAATCCTAAAATTAAATATTTTAGTTTAGAAAAAAAGTAAAAATCAAAGATGGATGATCATCAAATATCTTTATAATTTGTAAAAGAGAACTAATATATATGTATAATATATTGGTTCATAGCAGATACCAATGGGCATTTCCCAAAAATCACGCAAGAAAACTTGTATATATTTTTTCTATTATTTTCATAAAAATAAAACTGGCAATCTCTGATTTTCTCTCATTTAACTCTAATTTATATAAATATTTTGTAAACAAAAAATGGTATACTTCGGTAATGTCAACAAAGCATAAATTATTTATGCTTTGTTGACATTATTTTATTTTCTACAATAATTCTTAACTTTTATAAACAACTTTGCTTTTATTTCACACTAATGATTTTAGAAAAGAAATCTGTCTGCCCTGCATATCTGTGTTATTATATATATATATATATATATATATATATATATATATATATATATATATATATATATATATATATATATATATATATATATATATATATATATATATATATATATATATATATATATATATATATATACACACACAACCCTCAGAATTAGGGTCAGCATTCGGCAATGCCGACCTAACTGCCGACAAGAAAGTGTTTGAGGTCGGCAAAAAATTGCCGGCCTTGTTTCTATGTTTTATGGTCAGAACTTTGTATCAAATAATTTATATAAAAATGAGGTCGGCAGAATATTGCCGACCTCATTTTTCCTAATTCCGAGGGTTGTATGTATGTGTATATATATATATATATATATATATATATATATATATATATATATATATATATATATATATATATATATATATATATATATATATATATATGTATGTATATATATATATATATATATATATATATATATATATATATATATATATATATATATATATATATATATATATATATATATATATATATATATATATATATATATATATATATATAAAATATATATATATATATATGTGTGTGACTTTTTATACAATGCTTGATCTGCTTTTTATCATAGATCATCCAGGTCATATTTAAAATATCTGGAAAAATGGTTTGATAAATTATCTGGAAAAAACCCAGAATATTAAAACTAGAAATGAAATAAAAACTTTCATTTCTAGTAAAATGAAATAAAAACTTTCATTTCTAGTAAAATGAAATGAAAGTATTATAGATTTAAACAAAACTTTTGGTATAAAAATATAATTTGCTTATGAAACATTTAACAAATAAACACGTTAAAATTAAAAATTAATTTAACCCATTCAAAAGCATTAATTTTATTGTCTGCATAAGCCCATATACCATATATAAGAAAATAAAATCTTTTTTTTTTGTTTTTACAAAACATTTTGTAAAAACAAAAAAAAGATTTAGTTGCTTTAACATAAAATCACTTATAAAATAATTAGGTTTTTATTCTTGGAGTATTAAAATTTGCAGTTTTTTACGTGTTTAAAAAACACAAAACAATTGTTATTGGCAAAACTCTAAATATATATTAAATAAAAATAAAAATAAAATTTCAGCATATTTTTGTTCATTTGGTTATAGACAAAACATGATTGTGTCAAATTTCAAAAAAATAAACTATTTTATATTTTAAATAACCGGAAGCTAAAAAACATTACGTAATATTTTTACATAACATTTCTACAATAAAAATATTCACATTTAAGTGTATGTCAAAAATATAAACAAAAACCTCCCAAAAAATGCAAGTTTAAGTGATAGAACTAAATTAAACATAAACCTACTTTTTTATTGCCAACAATCACCATTGGGACGTCTGTGCCACTATTAAGTTTTCCTTTTAGCACTTTGTCTTTAAGAGATTTGAGCTCTTCCCAACTGGAAGATGAGTTGACTGCATACAATATAATAAAAGCATCACCAAGACTAAGTGAAGAATCCAGCATTGCTGCAAATTCTTCTTGTCCAGCAGTGTCTAAGATTTCAAAATGCAATGGACGCCCTTGGAAAGTCATCTGAAATATTTTATAAATTAATTTTACAAACATTTACATGACAAATATTTTTATACAAGGTGACTGAGAGTAAAAATTGAATTCTTTAAAATAGTACAAAGTTTACAATATTTTCAATTTAAGGACCTAATATAGTTAAATAAATATACTAATATTTTTTATTTCTTGATAAATAAAATTTGTTTATTTACATATATAATTGTATATTAGTACTACATTAATGTTTTTTATTTTACTTTTATCTTTATTTTTATTTTCATGCAAAGTGTACATGCATGACAGATAGCAGAAGGTACAGCCAAATTTGCATGCATGACAGATAGCAGAAGGTACAGCCAAATGTATACCAGTGATATTTAAATTAATGTTAAGTAAAACTAGAAGTAAAAATAATCGATTTTGTTAATGTGAATGAAAACTGAAATAGATTTGAATATCAACATCAGAAACAAAAATAGAAGTTATATTATTTATTATTACTGAAGGAAAATTATTGAACTTTTATGACAATTTATTTACACTTCCTTTATTCTTGTTGCACATGTCTGATCACCAACTTGGCCACGTGCTCTTTGGTTTGTTTGCCATGCTTTTGTAACAAAAGATTAAATGTATCGTTGATGTAAAGGCAAGTTTCCAATCATCTGTTTTTCTATGGGACCGGGAAAGGAAAAAATAATCACATGAGCATGCGGAGTTTTCCTTCACACAAATTAATTACGCATGCTCACGTGATTATTTTTTCCTTTCCTTTTCTTTCCCGGTCCAGTAGAAAAACGGATGAGTAGAAACTCGCCTTTAGAGTCAAACTCTTACGTCAATGATACGTTTAATCATTTGTTACAAAAAAATATAAATATTTCAAGCCACTAAAGGGTTGATAAAATAAATAAGTGATAAAAAATGATTAGAGATGAGAGCTTTTATGAAACTAAACAAGAATATATGATTGAAATTCAAGTGTGTATTTTCTTACAGTTTTAAAAAAAATCTCATCTTAATTCAATTCAATTGTTAAAGGACTGTTTTACAATTAGTGTTTGATTATTTATATTGTATTATATCATATTAAGAAATTTTAATGTTGTTGTCTTGAAACTTTGATAGTGATACTTAATAAGTTAATATCCTGTTAAAAAATTCCAAAAAAACTCAATAGAAGTGAAATATTAACTAAATTAGGAACTGAAATAAGAAGTAGAATTGTTGAAATCATAAGTAATAAACTGAAATTAATTTTAAGAGAATTGATTTAAAACTGAAATAGGAATAATTTTAAAAGTAAAATTAGAATTAGAAATTAAATCATTGCCACAAGAATTGAATAGAAACTGAAATAGAAATTATATCTCGAACTTAAATATCACTGGTGTACACATGCATCAAATAATATAGCCATAGACCAAAGTTGTCCAACTCATACCCCTTGAGCCACAAAGTAGCCCTCAATGTTCTCAGACATACCCCACATATCAAATTCTAATATTTAAATATTTTTTGAATTTTTCTTACACAATTTCAGCAAATGTAACTTTTACTAATACATTTTAATTCAAATTAAAAATCATCGGATATAAAACAATTTATATATTTTTCTTATTTAAATAACAGCCATATCTAATATTTTTAAACATTGCTGCAGCTAAAGACATAAGACATATATATGATAATGAAAGCACAGAAGTTGTGTATTAAGTCCTTCTTGGACCATAAATATTTTATACTTCAAATATTAGTCAAAATAATTTTATAATGTGCCTCATTTGATTAAAGAAAATTATTGTGTTCAAAACTTGTAATGTAATTAAATTTGAAGTTGTCATGTAAAAATCAACTTATTAGAAAATTGTTTGAAAACATAAACATTTGTTTTGAAATTAAAATTTCTGAAACAACAATTAAGTTAAAAAATTTTCCTTACTTCAAGATATTTTCAGAAAAAAACATTAGCATTCTTGAAAGTATCTTAAAAAGTAATCGATGATTGTATTTTAAAAGTAATTAATAACTTTGACACAAGGTTTTAAGATTTTATAAAAAGAAAAGAATAAGATGGACTTAGTCACATCCAAATGTTAAAGCTGAGATTATTAGAGAAATACGATTAATGCTTTAAAATTCTTTCAAATAGATTTGATAGCAAAACAATAAAAATCTTCAAGAAACCATTAAGAATTAAAATTCATTAAAATTAAAACCATTAAGAATTAAAGTTAAAATTTATTTTTAAAAATATCAGCATTGAGGTTTCCACATTGGTGAAAACATGCTATATTACTATTTTTTTAAATTTGTGTGACTCTCTGTGTGTATGTGCACAAAATACTATACCTGTCACAATAATGTGTGAGTGTGCTTGTGCGTGTGTGTGTGTGTGTACAAAATACCATATTTGCCACAAATATACAGCCACAAAAATACTATACCTGTGCTTCATATGACTCCTCTAAAATAAAATATAAGAAAGATAAATTAATTACTTTTATAAATAGATATCAATAACAATTAACAAATTTACACTATTTTTTATTAAAATTAATAAAATCTTTAATTAAAATAATTTTCCATTCTTTTAAAAATGCATTTTTTTTACTTTTACTTTAGTATATAAGCAAAATATTTCAAAACTAATTTTCTAAACTCTAATAAAGATGAATACATTTATATACAGTGTAATATATAACTTGTAAACAAAATGTAGTTCATTTAATTAAAGAAGATTAATAAGCTATGGCTGGTTTCAACTCAAACATAACTTATTTATTTAATGATTATTGCAATTATTGCATTACGGTCAATGTTCCTATACTAATAGGTTACCTCTAATAATGATACGTAGAATGAAATTATGATAAAAATCAAGAAGATCATTGCTCAAAAGTACTGTGTAAACATAAAGTAGTGTTAAGCAATTTCCCTCTTAAGGTTAGTTTAACCAAAATCTTTACCAAGTCATCATTTGAAAAAAGAAAGAAAAAAATCTTTAACAAAACCATCACTTGGAAAAAGATAGCAAGTTGAATAAGCAGTTGTTAAGGATTTTGCAGAAGTTTTGAATGTGTCTGAATCCAACCTTGCTGCACGAAACAACATAGAAAATCTAAAGGAGATTCAAACCAAAGCTGACAATCTATACTTCCTTGTTGAATGCATGAAAAAAAAACCTAAAGTTTCTAACAGAAGACAACAACTTCAAACTTGAAATAGATCCCGAAAAAAAGACAAAAAAAGCACTGTAACATATTCTAATGTGGTTGAACGGCGTTGAATCAGCAAGAAAGAACTTTAAAAAGTTTTTTACTGTGATGGTGAGTATTCAAGACAATTGTGTGGTAAAAAAACTATTTTAGTATTGGAAAAAAAAACATGTCAAAAATTGATTTTGTGTAATATTAAGAAGCTCTCTATATATCTATATATAAGATAAAGTACTCAAATTATAAAATCATATTCTCAAAACATTCATTAAAATAGTGTATTCTTACTGGTCCAAAAGGTGTTGGGTTCAACAACTTGTTTATATACAATACACAAAAATGTGAAATTGACATTGAGTGCTTTAGGCCTTGAAATGTCATATCATGAAACCATTGAAGTAACTGTATGCAGCAAAGAATAAAAAGATTAAATGATTCACAGATGCAACAGTTGCTCCCACATACAAGCTCTACTAAAAAAATTTTGCAACAGTATCTAACAGAAATTGATGTTCTTAAAAAGCAGTATGAAAGTGTTGACAGAGTCAAATATGAACATTTGTAGATTTTAAATAGTAGACAATAATAGACAGAATTAAAATACTGACAATAAAGCTTCAATAATTTCAAAAATAAAATCAAAACTAATTAGTCTTGATGACATAATTATCCTGGCATATTTGCAGAATTACAGTTTTCTAGTATAAGCGAGAATGCTTTGGAGGAATGCTTTTTTGTTGTTTGAGAAAGCTAATTTCCAGACATGGAGGAACTCCAAACATTTTTATGTACATGTTTATGTCATGTACATAAAAAATTTTATGTACATGGCATAAAATTTTTTTTTCTCCAAACATTTTTATGCACATGTTTTGATGATCAAAGCCTGGAAACAAGGTAAACTCTAAAGCTATGCCCCTTCCCTGTCCTTAACATGAGAGCAACCAGTTTACAAAATACTTTTTTACTGTTATAAACTAAAGTAAACAAAAGTAAAAGTACACTTTATTCTATTAAAAATTTATATAAATAAGTTTATATTCATAGACATTTTTTTAAATTTCACACATTAATCTCATAGTGTTGTAAAATTATGACTATGTAAAATTTGAACCCCTTAAATTGAGGAGGTAAAAAAATTCATAACTTTTGAACACTGTAAGGTTAATACATGAAATTTGATAATTTGCAGATGAATAAACTTAGTTTACAATGGTTGAAAAAAATAATTTGTATACTGGTTGCTCTTACATTGAGGACAGGGGCAAAGCATTTACAGGGTTCCCACTATTAAAACTAAGGCTAAAATTAAGGATTTTAAGAAGATTTAAGGAGATATTTTGCTAATATTTACAGTGATTTGGTCGCGAACAACATCTTTTTGAAAGAAAATGTAAGGATAATTAAGGAGAAAACGATTACATTAAAAACATAATCTTATTTTTTTCAATAAATTTTAGATATAAACATATATATATATATATATATATATATATATATATATATATATATATATATATATATATATATATATATATATATATATATATAAAGAATGTTGAAAGGTTTTTTGTTAAGAGACATATTGCTTGCGCCCCTCCTCTTCATAGCTCCCCCCCTCCCCTAGTTTAAAAAAGTTGTCTATGGTCATGAAAGAGTTTACAGAAAAAGCATTACCAATATCAGTAGGCAGTCAGTTCCAATAAAAAGATGTTTTGTTTGTTAAAAAATAATGTTTAAGCAAAAACTAAGTTATTTTACAATTATATTTCATTTGCTGATCTCTTGCTGATTGATGACATCTTGGCAAAACTTCCTTGGTTAAAATTACTTTTTCAATTCCATTAAATACCTTGTACATTTGAATTAAATTGCCCCAATTCCGTCTTACAACTAAAGTTGTGAGGTCCAACTTATCTAATTTTTTTTTTAGGGACAGTGGTAGTTAGAGGTATATTTTGTATAAAATAATTCTTTTTATTTTCTGTTTTAACCCTGATCTAAATATGAAATTCAACATTAGCAGTACCTATAGGATATACATTTTAAAAGTTAAGGCATTCATAAAATTATCAAGTATTTGGAATTCTTATGTATGTAAGAGGACTTTGACAAAATTGTTTGAAATTTTTTAAACTCACCAAAAAAAATATTTATTTTTCTCTTAAATTATTTTTTAGACAAAAAGTTTATATTGTGACAAATAGTTATTTTTAGTAAAATGATATGGTTTGTATAAATAATGAGCTTGAGTTATTTTTTTAAGTGTTAATCTTAAACATTTTAATTAAATTGAAAAAGTTTTAAATTGAAAGAGGTTATTTTTGTAATCATTTGTTGTTTAAAAGGGAGATAACAAATATTAGAGCCATCTTAAAACATTTAAAAGGTTAATAACAAGTATTTAAAGTTTCTTTTAGTAAACTTATTCCCAGCAATATATGGAGACATGGGTAGGTTCGAACCTTGAATAAAATTATTATTAATTATACAATTTTAATTATACAATCATAAATATATAAAGCTAACTATAAAAAAATAATAATAAAAGCCTTATTTAGAAAAAACAATTCTTATGCTTATTTTAATAAAAAAGATTTTTTTTTTTTTTAATTATTATTATTATGAAAAAGCTTATCAAGTGAGTAAACAAAAGTAAAAGTACACTTTATTCAATTAAAAATTTATATAAATAAATCATTCTTACCCATTGTTGGATCATAATGCTAAAATACACAAAAGGTTAAAAATATTTTTCATTGTAACTGTTTATAAACTTTTAGTATATCTATCTCTACCAAAGTAGAGGTAAGTTGTAAAACAACATTTTTACAGACTGTTTTAAATATTTAAAAAATCTATTCAAAGTAAATAAAAACTGTTTGAAATTTCGACAAATGACAAACTAAACAATGAATAAAAATAAAATAGAATATACGTACCTCAACAAAATCATTTTTTAAATATCGAATGGTTAAACAACTTTTCCCAACACCACCGCTTCCAATAATACAAACTTTAAACATTGTTTAATCCCTTAGTGTAAATAAACAAATACCGAAAATGAGCAACAGATATTTTTGGAAATCGTGTATAACTCAAAGAAATTATTCAGTTTAAATAACAAAAACCATATATTAAATTTTTAAAACTCAATAACAAATAATACAATTATGGGTATAAAAACGCCTAACTTTTGGTTCTGTATTTCTGTTAAATAGCTGCAAATCGTGTGTTGAAAACTAGTAATTAAGAAGCAAAATAACTATAACTTCTTTATACTATGACTATTAAAATTCAATCTTCATCACAATTTGAAAGCTTAGACAATGCATAATTTTTGAGTAATTTTAATATGAGTCAAGCAGATAAACTCCTAGTTGTAAATCTAATAATGATTTTTTGTTTCCAATGACAAAAAACGGCGAAAAAAAATTCCACATGACTAAAATTTTTTGTCACCGCTTATTTGACGTATTGATTATTTCTTTTTACCCGTTAAATGACCTTTGTTGTAGACGTGAAGTCATTTGTGACAAACTAAAAATTTTAACTATAAACTAAAAATTAAAATCAAATGATCCATTATTTAGAAACAAACAAATCATGACCGAACTACTTTTGAACAGGGACAACGGTGTTAGAATTGCATAAAATAGCTAGACACCAATTTTTTCAAAAAAATATTATAACTCAAATTATATTCACTTTACGCCACTTCATCTTTATGATATCTTCTTAACAATTTTTATAAACATTTTTATGATGATTTTTTTTGTTTTTTTATTTTATGTCTGACGACGCACTAAGCGTCACTATGCGGAAATGAGAATTTTAATTATATCAATTTAAGATTTTTGCAATTTTAACTTTTTAAATATTATTTTACGGAGTTAAGTAAGTAGTTCCTAATTTAATGAAATTATTTAAAAAATTTTCTTTATGCTTTTTTAACAGGGGAAGTTTCAAGGTAAAAAAAAAAATGTTTTTGAAAAACTTTTTGAATTTTTTGAAAACTTTTTTGAATTGCTTATGATAAAAATCACACTTCTGCATATATTGAAAAATATACTTATAATATTAAGTTATTTAAAAACTAAGAGAAGTCAAAAAAAGATTTCGCTTCATAATTTCTTTGTTTTTTAATTCAGTCCGCAAAAATTAATGGAAATTAATCATGTAAAGGGGTAGCCAGTTTTATATTTGATACAACTTTGTGCAACAGTTCAAAAATTTATAAGTGAAACAATATATTGGCTACTATTGTTGTAAAAGACTTCAAATCATTTTGCGCGTGTAACTGTATATAGAACCAAATAAGCACCGGCGAAGTTCGTATAACTTTCGTAGTACTATTCGCTTAACGAACAGTACTATTCACTTAAAGAATAGTGCTAATATTGAAACGAATAGCTAGTAGTGTATTTATTGAAGTTTTATAAGGATCTAATACTATTCGTCTAACAAATAGTACAATTCTTGTAACGAATAATACTCTTTGTTTCACAAATAGTAAAAGAATTGTACTAATCGTTTAACGACTAGTATTAGATCCTTATAAAACTTCAATAAATACATTTTTATTTCAAATTTGAAAGCATTTTAAAGTTTTTCAAATGAGCTTCTGAAGTCAAATAATTACCTAGAGAAGTGAAATTTACATTTTATCAGCAAAAATTACAGCGTTTTGGTTTCGATTTCGATTATTTTTTGACTTACACTGTTAATGCCGCGTACGACAGATATATTGTTTCAAACATTATTAACGATTTGTATGATTATGTCTAGACATTATTAATGCTTGGAACGTAATTCTATGCGGGTATTATACTAGCATTATATATATATATATATATATATATATATATATATATATATATATATATATATATATATATATATATATATATATATATATATATATATATATATATATATATATATATATATATATATATATATATATATATATATATAAGGTATATTATATATGTAAGATAGATTAGAGTAATATGAGCATACTTAAAGATTTTTTAGATGCAAGCAGTGAAGTTAAAGTTGCTTTACATTTTTAAATCGACTCTATGTGGTGATAACAGCACTCAGTACAATTAGGGTAAATTTATATGCAGCATTTAGCGGTTATCACCTAATTAAACGTGGTTAAATTTTTTGCGTTCTTAAAATATTATCATCAGGCATGAATAAATCTGTGGCGCAAAATTTTGGTGCTAAAATAATGAAATTAATTTTTTCATTAAAAAAATATGTTAGCTAAAAATCCAATCAATTTTTCTTTGAAACAATGCATAGAAACATTTAGTTTTAACTTTATCAAAAGATGCCATTTTTGTGTAATATGGACATGCTCAAATTACCCAGTGTTTTTCATTGAAACTACCTAGTTTAAAGTCCTAAAATAGCAGTGGTTTTAATTGCTTTCGAATAAAAACAAAACATAGTAAAAAATGTTAATATTTTAACAATACTAAATATTTTTTTTTATAATTTAAATTCAAGAATTCTGAATTTTTATCGTTCAAAGGTTTGAGTTAATAAAATTGAAAAAAAAAAGATTTTTTTTTTTTTTGAAAACATTGTTGTATTGTTTCAACAAAGTGTGGTTCAAAATTTGATCTTTTAATGATAAGTTTTATTAATAACGAATCGTTGTATTCCAAAAACTAGTTTTAATTGTCAGATTAGCATTTTTTTACTTAATTAATTTTATTTTTTATAATCTTTTCTTTCACTTAACATGCGCTCTGGTATTGTAGTTTAACCTCCTCCGGCTAATTGCCATATAGAGGTCACTTTACCAGAAGTCCGCAAAGACTGGTTTAGCTCCCAAGGGAGCGTCATACCTGCTCTACGGACTGAGAGTAAGGTAAGTTTAGGAAGAACGGAGATATGTTAGAGTGAAAGATAGAAGTAGTCGAGTTAGAAAGATAGCATAGAGTAAGCGGACAAGATTGCACACGATGTTAGAGAGTGCAATACATACTGTTAGTTAGGCTTAGCCTAAGTAAATAAACATTGCAATGATGTATACAGCAAAACCATTTTTGAATATAAGATTATCTAAAAAGTTTATATTTTTCCTTCATACATAACTATCTAACTTACGGCAAAATCGTATGAGTAAGCAACAGCTACGCTAAGTTAAAGAAAATTTGTACTAAACAAAAACATGCATGTAGAATTGTATTTGGAGTAAAAAGAACTGTGCCTTTGAGCCACTTCTACGTAAACTCAATGCATTAAATGTGTTTAAAATTAACATATTCCTCGTCATACAGTTCATGTATCAAATAAAACATGGACTGTCTCTAGCGATATTCTATCCTTATTTTAGAGAAGTAAGCCATAAATACCCCACCAAGTTCTCAGAAAATAACTTTGTAACTCAAAAGTATAATCTAAAGTTATGTTCTTATTCTATTCAGTACCGGGGTCCAATTTTGTGGAAAAACTTTCAGCAAATTGTTAATATTAAAGAAAAAACATTTCCGCAATTCAAATCTAAATTAAGACGTTATTTAGTACTTACGGATTTTAATATAGCAGATCTTCTATGTCACTTTTAGAGTTTTAAAATTTATTAAACTAAATTAGCACCATAAATTTAAAAATCTAGACCATTTAACAATACTAAGAATTTCAATGTCTTTATCATACTTTCATTGAAAATATATATTCTCTTAAAGTTACCTACAATTTTCTTTGAATTTTTATTTGAATTATTTTGAAAGAAAATAATATATACAAATATATATATCGAATCCCATCCAATCTATAACCAAAAACAGAAAATTTTTGTCATTTTATTACTATATTTTAATCATTTTTTTGCTTTTCTTTTTTTTCAATTATTTTAATACTTTTTTTTTTTTTTTTTTAATTTTGTTTCTTAACATTTTAAAATTGTCTTTTTTTAAATGCTTTTGCTTATATATTACGGATTATTATATACTACGGATATTTATTTGCGTTACTATTGGGGCTCGGTGATAAGGCTATTTTATGCCTACTTCTTGCTCCAGCCAATTGTACTTTTTATATTGTTGTACTTTGTGAATATTTTTAACGGCGAAATAAACTAATAAACTAAACTAAACTAAACTAAAGTACGCCGACAAAGTAGTCATTGAAGTTCACTTAACATGCGCTCTTCCTTAACTTTCTTTGCCATCCAAGTGACGCATAAAAAGTAATCTTTTATATAAAGATTTATTTATTTTTTTTTTTATATATAAAATATTATTTATTTACAAAATTTTATAAAATTACATTAACTCAACATGTTGAAAATTAAAGTTTTACAATATATGGGTTTACAAGAAGGTTTACAATTTTTCATAAAGCTGTCACTATGGTTACAATAATAATGTTAATAAAGAATAGTGTTACAATAGTTACCATGGTTTTATATATTTTTCTATATATATATATATATATATATATATATATATATATATATATATATTTCTTCTTTTTTGTGGTTTTTTTAATTTTATATTTTTTTGTGGGTTTTTTGATTTTGTATTTTTTTGTATTTTTTGTTTTTTTATTATAGTGCCATTGTGCGGAGAGAAATCGGAAGGTTTGAAAGAGTTAAAGAGGAAGATGTTTTAAGAAAAAATTACAAGTAGTTTTTATTTAAAGGAAGAAATTTATAACAAAATAATAGAAAAATAATTACAAGACTTTTACACAAACACCACATTACGTACGCTACAGAAAAACGTTTAAAAAGGGAAATTTTAACTCATAAAATAAAAGCTGGCAGTGATTGTTTAATCGTAAATAATAATATTTTGCTGTAAAAATAATAATTCGTAGAGAAATGGAAAACATCACTAAACATATAGTTCTTTTTATTTAGCTAGTGTATTATCTTAGTTCATATGTTTAGTTTAAGGTTCCCATTCTCTACTTGGCATATTATATTTTTAACACAAAAATGTTGACAGAAAATGTCCGTGGTGTTTCTGCGGACATGGTAATTATATTTTAATGTAATAATATTCCTGATTTTCCTAATTATTACCCTGATCACTGCCATTGGGTCAATTTTTATGTTTCTAAACGTGTGGTGATATCTGCTGTTCCATATCTCACACATGATGGTTTGAGTGAGTGTCAACAGCAGCTGCGATGTAGGGTTCTTTTCCGATAAACTCGCGGTCCCGATAGAGAAAATCGAATTTATCGGAGAAAAAATGTTTTGGGATGTCATGGAGTTATATACATGTTTAAAATATTCCCAAATTTTAACAGAGGGAGGACAGTAAGCAAAGATGTGAAGATTGTCCTCGATTTTACCACAAGTTTTACATTTGTTGTTTTTGACAATCTGTTGCCTTGTGGTTTTGGCTAGCAAAGCCGCAGAAGGTAGACTGTTGTGTAAAAATTGAAAGAGGATGTTTTGAGTTGGTCCGCATGCGTGGGAGGTAAAGTTCTTTTTCTAAA